CTCCATCAGGCGGGAGTTGACCTTAAGTCCGTTTGACGTTAAGACGGTTTTGGAGTGACATCTGCACTCGCCCGCTATCGTCCGGTGATGCTGTAATGGCCAGCTGCAGCCAACAGCATTAGAGTACTCCGAAATATATGTACATATATATATTACGTGGGCCTTTTGTATACAATTATATATAGAACAGTAAGAGCGAGAGACACACGTCAAGTCGATATATGTTTGTTGCGGTCTACTATATCGTGTCGCGGTTTGTCGCGATTGCGTGTGTCTGCTACAGACTACCCACAATATGGGAATATTAGCCAATTTGTTATGAAATAGTATGATGTTTATTTTTTCATATGTTCTGTCTGGTGTACCTACAGTCACTGGCCAATTTTTTATACGCACATTATATACAGTTTTGACGGAAATTTTGTTTAGTTAACACATATTTTTTTATGATTTGATTATATACATGTATTCCACGATATTCCATAGGTGACATCACAATTAAGACGTGTTACTTGTTGAAAATATTTTACTTTCTGCCCGGAAGACATCCACTGCTGATCAAAGGCCCCCAAAAATCTCCACGACGATCGGTCCTGCGCTGCTTGCATCCAACACCTTCCAACGATCTTGACCAGATCGTCACTCCACCTTGTCGGAGGCCTTCCCACGCTGCGTCTTCCAGTCCGCGGTCGCCACTCGAGGACTTTACTGCCCAAAAACCGTCTGTTCTACGAGCTACATGTCCTGTCCATTGCTACTTTAGTCTCGAAATTCTTCGGGCTATGTCGGTCACTCTGGTCCTTCTCCAGATCTCCTCATTTCTGATAGGACCACGCAGAGAAACTCCAAGCATAGCCCTCTCTATTGAGTGACTTTGAGTACCTATATTTATGAGGTGCATAGTTACTTTTGCTAAATTGCCAAAATGTACAAAATATATACAGAGTGTAAATTTGTACTCTACTATTATGTGACGTCATAGTACCTCTTATTCTTTGCCATTCAGAAGGTCTGAGATATCATCACCTCTGTATCAAGTAATTTCACTGTCATATTTCAACCTCCAACTGAAACAGCTTACAAAGCAAGCTTTTGTACGCAGATTAGTCTGATTAAGAATAAAAACATTTGTGATTTAAATAATAGTGATGGTTTCAGTAGGCTAGCGGTTCAGCATATCGTTGTACTTCGGTTGTTCGCAGATACAATCCCTCGCACGGTACAAACATTTGTATTCATGAGTATGATTGTTTGGATCGGTCTTGGTGTTTTCTATGTATATTATGTACTTATGTATTTACAAAAGAAACTACATATGTAAGTATTTATGTTAGTTGTATTGCTGATTTTTATGTTTTGTTTTGTTTCTGTTGTTTACATCAGAGCTTGCGTTATACTTATAACACAAACTCTGCTTACCTTGCGACCAGATGACATTATGTGAATTGTCCAGGGATATTATTATTATAGAGGTTAAATAAAAAACATTATTTGAAATCACTATTGTATTTACGTTATTTACTTCCCTCCGTAACGAGTTCTCACCAAACAGACAGTATATAAAGCATATTTACATTTACCGTAATATTTTTTATCGACTTAACCGTATGACGAAAATACTATATATTTTTGTCTATAACCTATAATACAATAATTTTCTCATTTAAAACGCTCAGTGACATGGTGTTCATTCATGGTAATATAATTTTGGCTTAAATGTATTTAGTTGTTAAACTTTATTTTAAGCAAGAAGAATGAGAATTTATATAGATTGTTTTTATGATTTATTGCGTTATTTTGTAATAGTATATATACATATATAAGTACCTATACAGGTAAAAATTTTAATATTAAGTACAACTGAATCGAACGGTGTACGAAAAAGAACGCGTAGGTTTGTTTTGGAAACTCATCATAACTAAATATTATTTTCACTGATAGGCAAGATCCTTTATCATTTTGAGTATAATTTCTAACTTATTTTTATTTGTACTAACATAGCTTTATGTACTTTTTTTTTTAAATCTTTAATGTACTTAATATAAATAAATAAAACTTTATTTGTAGTGTTCATTACTTTTGGTATTCGATTTTGCTAACTTATATTAGACCAACTGTACGATACAACGGAAGTTTTATATAGGTTATATATGTTTATAGTTTTAATAATCGTTATGATTAATCTTATTTAATGATATAACAGGATAATGATATTAATAAGGATAATACGAGTTGAGTGATGTAAGTACTTATATATTAGGTAATTAATTTATCGATATATTTATCTCTACATCTACTCAGGAAGAACTTATACTATTTCATTAAAGGAGCTTCGACTGCTATTACCTTTGAGAGGAAAAAATATAAGGAAATTGATTTTATTTAATAGCAAAATTACAACAGCAATTAATCAGAAAGTTCGGCCTAAGATATATTTTTATATAAAAAATATATTTATTCTAAGAAAGTAAACATTAAATATACTAGCAATCTTCCATATTGCGAGTACTCAGAGCCATGGAAGAATTGTTTTTCAAACATTAAGAATGTAATTTAAAACGATAAATAAAACACGCTAATAGTGATAGCACATGCAAATCTAAATCTTAATTACTACATATAACAACAATTATCTTTTGGAAAAGTGGAATTACTAGTATATTGGTTGAGATAATAAAGACTTATCATAGTTCATATATAAATGTTAATTGATTATTCCTGAATTGGATATATTCTACTCTATTCCTATGAATTACCTATTCGTAGATACTGTTACCACGTGGCGAAGCAGTAAATAAATGTGTCAGCATTAAAAAGAACTGATAATTTACCAACCATTTATATATTAAACAAAACTCGTTTTTTGTTCAAATTATTGTTATCAGTAATATCAAAAATTGGGTATCTAATCAATGAATTAAGTCAATATCAATTTATTTATTAAAAATGGAAATAAATTCACAGTTCATATGAATGTAACGAAAACTATAATACGAGATTTAGAAGAATTTTAATGTCTTTGATATATTTTTATTTTAATATAATTTGTATTGAATATTGTAAATATATTGTGAAACACACGTGTCACTGAGCATTTACATTTCTACTACAATGGTAGTAATAATAAACTGAACATTACAACGTAATGAAATTAAACTGATAATGGGTCTGTAATATCGAATATTATATTTATTTTAATAATTAAATATGATTTTATTAATTAATTACATATAAAAAGCACGTAATTAATATTGTCAATAACGAATTAATTTTTAAATATAATTTATAGTGTAGTTCTATATTTTTAACCTTTTTAATATTGATTAATCTCTCCAATTACCTGTTATATTTATGGAATTTTATATGTAAAATCTATTATGTTATACTTTAAATAAACCGTAAAAATATTTTATTATTTTAATTTATATTTCATAATGCTTATTTAATTATTTATTCTTGTAATTGTAATTGTAAATTATATTATTTTATAATTAAATGCATACCATTGTTAAAATGTTAATAATTTATTGCTTCGTATAAAATTAAATAGAACTTCACGAAGAAGGAAAGTTTTAAGGCATATTATTTATGTAGTTAAAAATAAATATGTACAATTAAAATAAAAGTTTGTTCTTAGTAGTGTTAACATTTAGTTACCAAAGTGGTACAAACAAAATTATCACTCCCATCTTTCCTAATCTGCTTTTGATTGCACCTTCGGGTATTACAGGCCCATCATTAGTATTAGGCACCTTTGATTTTGAGTAATTAGATATTAGTAATGATTTTACAACAAACAATATCATAGTGACTCTTAAAGCGTCATACAAAGAATTCTTGCACTTGCTAATCTATATTTCATTTATTAAAATTTCAATTACATCTATCTACTATTATTTCACTCTTGTCTTTCATATAATTTGAGATAACTTATTATTAATAAACAATATTATAATATAGATTAATTTTGTTAATATATAGAGGTTTCTACTAAGAATATCTACTATACAAATATGTTTCAATATTTATATTAACCACGCACTTTTGGTGATAGTATGTACTATTACGTTTAATATTTAAATTTTTTTATATTCCAACTAAAAATGTCAATAAACCGTTAAACAGATACTATATTGCTACTGAACAAAAATCACTAAGTTTTTAAATAGTATAGTGAAATTTGTATTAGTTTAATAATTATATAAAAATTGAAACAATATTTGTATACCACCAAGTAGGTACTAATATTTTTTTAATGTAGAAAATTCAATTACAAGGGTTTTAGGCCCGTACATATACCAATTTCAAAACTAACCGTATAATTGACTATTTTTAACGCTAAAAAACTTTAGCGGGGCTCATGGCTGAAAGCTTTTAAGCGTATATTATTTTTATTTTGTATTATGACAAGAAGCAGAAAATAGGTCGCTGAGAGTTTTTTTTTTCAATATCAGAATTAAAAAGTTCTTTCGAGATAAATAATTTTGAAATTAGAAACACAGATATATGAAGAATAGTTTGTTTTTTTTATTTAATTATTTTTAAGTATTTTTAATGAGTATGTTACTCCACTTATTGTCACAATACGAAAACATTTGTAATAATCTTCTACCATAATAGCACTGTCTATTAACTGTACATTACATTCTGATACAAACTCTTATCTACACAGACTTTTACAATGTCTCCGACATGTCATAAAGCAGATTTCATACGAACGATTCTAAAATTTCTTACAAGTAGATAAATACTTAACTAGAAATATAAAGAGACTTCTGATTTATTAAACCTAACATTTATATACACCTTCTAACACTTTATTGTCAGTTCTGAACTTTAAAGACCAAATAAATTATAGTACAACATACCTACTTATTTACAAATTGGTAAAGTCAAAGACTCGCTATACATTTATTACATCTTCTATACGATGAACTCCACAACATCATTTCTATACATCAAAAGCATACGAATACTTAATTTAATTAATTTTACTGGTATTGTCGTATCATTAACAATATTGGAATGCAGAACATTCGAATATTGTGCGCGTAAATTTTCAATCATTATTACCACAGGAATTGAAGATTTTACGCTTATTTGTAACCAACATACATGGACTAGGTGATATGAAAGTCGCCTCGTAAAAGCCTAGTGAAAGTCTTCTTGAATTGCTGATTGGCTAACGCGTAGCAAAAAGGATTTATTGGGCTATTAGCGTAACATAAAAAGTATGAGAACATATAAAAATGTTTATTAATACAAGGAGGATCAGTACAAAATCCCTCTACTAGAGCGACTATATGATATGGGGTCCAACAGATTACAAACGCTCCTAATATAAAAGATATGGTTCTAAACGCTTTCCTAGCCCTATTTTCCGATTTAGACTTCTGTCTGCCGATACTCTGAAACAAGCCGTCCCGTTTCGAACGTTTAACTTTTAATTTTTTTCCTATGTTTTTGACGAACTCCTTCTTTGAGTCGCTGCGACCTGACCCAGTTACCGCCGTACTAGAAATATCGCTGTTTTCAACAGCTGGGCTTACTGGATTTAATTTTAATGGCGTTATTTTTGCTACGGTCGTTTTGGGCGGTTGCGATTCATTATTATTGGAAGACGATGAAACGAGAGTAATCACGGGCTTAGGTCGCTCTCCCGGAGTTAAACTTACTTCTGTATTTACTTTGACTGGTAGAGGGGGAGATGTATTTGCTTTAGGCTGTGTTACTTGAGCTTCAGCCGTGGCTCTTATTAGAGCAGCTTGTAATAAAGATGTATTTGTAACGATACCGGAATTTAAAGTAGGAGGTGATGACGGTTCAGTGGCAGTAGGGAATGTTATAGATGATGGAGGGCTTTCATAAGTGGGTGATGGTAAAATAACAGAACTTTCATCCATATATCGCAAGTCAGCTCCGTCCATTCCTACAAGTACGTCATATGAACTACCGTCACCTTTAACCACTCTCACTGTTCTTGTTTTAGACGATTCTGATTGTGATGGGGGACTTTCAGAGACAGGAGGACTACATCTGAATTCCGTTGGAGGAGGAATTACTCTTTGAGCAATAGTAGTAGATACTTCTCTTTGATCGGACGGTGTAACTATTCCTGATGACATGGGAGATATAAGACTTGTAGTTGATAAAGGAATTGTTACTGCCTGTTGACTGTAAGTATTTTGAGAATTATCTAAATTATCTGTATCTAATAAACTTTTTTCGGATATCTGTGATAATGATGATTTAGGCTTATCAAAATCATGTTTAAATAATGGAGATTGTTTTAAATCAGTTTTTATTAACATACCGCCATTCATACGCATATTATTAAGTAACTGCATTGCACCAGTTTGCATAACTAAATTGACCACGGATGGCCTCTTTTTAATATTCGACTGTGTTGTGCTCTCGTCATCAGAATCAAAAGCAGGGCTGCTTGATCTTTCAGCTTCTACCTGTTCTTCTTTCTTTTCAGGATCAGACTCAGCTGTTGTTGATGTCCCTGTACCGGTAGCACTACTCTTATGAGCTGATGATTTTTGGCTTGAATTAGAATCAGTGGAACCACCTAAATTAAGTAACGGAGCTGCTAATGATCCCTTTGATGTAGAGTCTTTACGAATGGAGTCTGGAACTTTTACTTGATCTTCGCTAGAAATAGTTGCCTTGGATAAACCCGACGTACCTGCAGCACGTCCCGCCATACCCGTCATGAAACCAGCACTCAAAGCGACCATTGACTGCATTTTTCTCTGTTTTGCTTCACTTTTCTTCTGCATATCATACGCTGTCTTAAATATGCCTGCGTACAGTACAATAAGAACAAACAATGTTGTCCAATAATAGCCAATAATTAAAGCTGTATTGAAAATTGGATCTTTAAGGAATTGTACTGCGCACTCACCTTCTTGTAAATCTCTATATCCTACGAAATGTTCCCATCCGAATATAGTGGTAAAAAACAATAAGGCTGGTATAATCCACGTGACTGTTACCATCCATATCACCCGGTTTTTTGTTCTCCAGGCTCTATATCTTGCTGCTATTTTTACGCTGCAGAATCTATCCACTGTTATTAGTAGAACAGTATACTGTGATACAAGGCAAACAGTGTAATCTACGGATAGCCATAAATCGCAAAGTAAAGGCCCCAAATGCCAGTATCCTTTTAAGACATAATCGGTGTAAAATGGAAGTGAGAGAGTACCTGAAGACAATAAAAAAAATACAAGTATTCATTAAATTAATTTCTGATGTGTAATTAATTGAGCAAATAAACATATTCAATAAACCAATTATGATCATTAAATATGAATTAGTATTAATTATTATAATTCCATCTGAGTTTAAAAGACTCTTTGATTAAAACTGTACCAAGTTTCGGATTCTCGATAAACACTCCCGAATCATGTTCAGTGAACAGATATCAATTACGCCGATCAAAATTTGGATACACAATTTTGTTTCATGTTTATTCATAAAGAGGTTAATATGTGACGAATAATTAATTTGTTTGTATTGCTTTATATGAAGTTTTATAAGGTACATAACTATTGATCGCCAATAAAATCGCGTGAGGCAGTCACATTGGTAAATTGATTTTTTTTATTAAAAGCTTATTTGGTAGGCTTAGGAAACATAAAATATAATTATTTCCTCAATCTGAATCATTACATTTCACTGATAATTAAATTGTTATTATAGTCCTATACTTGAAAATAAACTTTTTGTACTAATATTATAAAGTATTATATGGGAAAGTTAGTCTGTCTATCTATTTGTTTGTTATCTTTTGTCTGAATGGATTTTAAGGAAATTTTACTTCATATATCTTATCGCGAGCATGGATATAAATTACGTAATATAATAAATAGCATACGAAGTTGCAGTATGAAAAAGGTATAATAATAGAAAAACTCTCATATATACCGACGGAAGAAAGAAGAAGAAAAGAAAGAAAAGAAAGAGAAGAAGAAAAGAAGGATTTGTCGTAACTTGAAAAACCTACCAATTATTTTATATTTTTTTACTACAGTTTTTTGTCTCTGGTGTAAGTTTCCGCCTTCTTCCGCCGATATATAAGGTACTAAATTATATGTTATATTAATAGAAACCTTACCAATTAACAGGTCGGTTGCGGCGAGAGAAGCTATGAAGTAGTTGCTGGGCTGCCGAATAGTTCTGTCGACCAGGAAAGCCAATAACACCAGGACATTACCGCTCACCGTCAACAGTATCACCAGTACCAGTAATGTTGCGAAGATTGATGCCAGCCAGAGAGGAAACGGTGGAAGAACTGGTTGCTGTTTAAGAAAACATATCTATATTTATTTATGATGGATTAAGTGGTCTGGCGATTGCAGAACTTTACTGCCGATGGTCGCGGGTTCGATTCCTTGCACTAGTACTAGTAATAGTTCCGTTTACTAACCTCCCAGTTAAGGGGGAGGTTGTGGATAATATAGTACATTTAGCATAGTTTATGAAATAAAAAAAGTTGTAATTTCACATACGTTTGTGACATGTTTTCATTAATCTTTTTTATCTTATTTTACGTTCGTGTTTACAATTAATTTAAAGACTACTATAGAATAGTCTATTAATTATAAAAATGAAAATCAGGGATCGACCTGATGTCCTCATGACTATGACCATGAGTGTTCTCAGCTTTTGATCCATAAAGCAATAGTGGCTCGGGGCAGGCATACAAGTTAGTTTAACTTCTAGCTCGGACGGGTAAGTTGACCTTTTCTTCAAGAGGTAATATAATATTGTCTCGCATATAATTCTAATGCAGAGGCCAACTGCCCTCTTCTGCCCTCCTTGGTACGGCCATGTTTATGACATTATATAAACAGTAATGGTATAATGAATATTAAACCTAATTGTACAATAAATTAGATGTTATTATTATTTGACTTGTATCACTATTTCAGTGCAGGTATAATATCTAAAAGGCATTATCAAAGTGTTATGAAAGCACTTGCACTGAAACACGTATTCCCCCAGCGGACGTGCTGTATGACGCAGGCATCTAATCGATTCAAGACTCAGCTACTAGCTATATATATATAGATTAGTTAGTAGTAGTTTAGGTGTTAAAGTTTACTACAGATATATTATCTGTGGTCAATATTCAAGGATAATCGTTATGAAGGATATTGGATTTTGGTAATCTGAAGAGGAAACGCCACTACACATCCTATGTGGCTGGAAAGTATACACTCTATCCTAAGGAAATAAAAGCCATCGCTCCTAAGAATATCCTTCAATTCTTATTCCTGACGGGTCTAAACTGAAAACTAATATATTCCTGAAACTGAACCTTTTTTTCTAAGAAACGTTGAAATGAGCTTTATTTTTAGTTTTTCTAATTGAAAAGATTTTAATTTTACATTTGACCACACCAGCTTTGTAAGAAATCATTAGAGATCTCATTCTCTACTATTTTAGCCGACAAACAAATTTCTTTGCCAGATGTATTTCGGTTGAAAGGTAGGACAGGGAAATTATGCGATAAGGAATATCCTAATCCTCAAGAATATCAACACATGAGTTCTATCTTTGGCGTGTCATGATGACGCGATGTCCGTGGTCCTGTTGATGTACAATGTATAACTTATACATTGTACATCAGGTAGAATGACAACAGATTACCCATTAACACAACTGCTGAAGCTAAATCAGTCTCGTGACTGATTTAGTTACGTTTGTAAGTGGATCTGAAACTGATTATGTGATCAGTTTCTATTTTTAAAAATATTTTCTATTTTCCTCTTTAGTTCTTGGTGAAAGAAATTTGGCATTGAGTCTGGATTTCAACATGTGACCTGATAATAAATGTGGTAATCCTGTACAACAGGATTACCACATTTATTATCAGGTCATTTTTTCTGACTACTCTAATGCTATTCAGTCACATTTAGTATTAACTGCACTGTAGTGCAGTTCGAAAGTTGGCTTCTAACATTAAAAACATAATACACTAAGCGGTGCCCGCGGTTTCAAACGCGTGAAATTTCAATAAAAAATATAGCCTATGTGTTATTCTGATGCGTAAGTTATATTACTGTAAAACTTCATTAAAATCTGTTCAGTAGTTTTTGCGTGAAAAAATAACAATCATCCATACTTTTAAACTTTGGCGTTTATAATATAATATTATAATATATAATAATGATAACACACAAATAATAGGTTAACAGTTTTAGTTTGGATCGTTATATAATTTTCGTTAACCCTTGTATACACAAGAGAAATACAGCATGTAATGTTTCAAAGTTGCTTTAGTACATACCAATTCTGCGTTAACAGCCAGTATATTCTCCAGAGTGCTGTTGAAGTAATACACATCAGTAAAGTTGGTGCTGTTCTGACACTCCTGGTAGTTTCCTGAGGGTAGACATGTGCGTTGCCTTAACTTCTGCAGTTTCCTGTAACAATATTTCTATGTACAGGATAATATTAACAAAAATACAGAGCTTAGAGAGCAATCTCTTTTTTTATGTAACTGGAATGAATATACATAAACAGAGTCATTTTTTCTGACTACTCTAATGCTATTCGCAGCAGCTGGCTTACAGCTTCGCCGAATGATAGGGTAGTGTAGATCACACTCCAAACACACGGGAGGACTTATGGTGCAGCTGAAGGCCAAATCCCGCCTGACGGATATAGCTTAGGTATGAGGCCGCTAGGGGTTCGAACCTCACCTCAGGCCATCGTAATTTTGATCCCCGTTTGAATTAGATGGCAGATTGATCGGAACGGCATACAAAGGTGTGTTAAATAGAATTTCAAGTATCTTATTAAAACATCGACAATGTGAATAATTTGATCACTATCAATAAAAATATTGATTATGCTCTTGCTTATTGATCAGTAGTGTATTGTTAATGGAATGCCTGCGGTAACAGTTTACAGTAGCAGGGCCAATGGAGGATAGTGTCCCAATGAAGGATGATAAGATGAGCATGTCGTCATGTCAGTTCAAAGTCAAACCCTGACAAATTCACCAAGAACTTATCACGATTATTTCCAGGGGGAACCACGTGGAGGGCAATCTAGTACATTTTATATATTTAGTTAGATATACTTTTGATATATTATCTACTTCTGTTTTTATCATGCTCCACCAAGGTAGGTGGCAAATGCAAAGTTTCTTTACTCAAAGTTTAGATCTGCCAGGTTGTCTGTAAGAAATTGCTTTAAGCGAAAAGGCCGTATTTTGTTTATCGCATTTAAGTAGTTATTTTTTTTCTTTTTTTTTTGCTGCGCGCAATAAAAAGTTATATTATTATTATTAACTAGCTGTACACGCGACTTCGTCCGCGTGGAATTTAACTTTACTCTTTCTAAAATAAAAGTAGCCTAAGTTACTCCTTATTACATCAGCTACCTGCCATGAAAATTCCGTCATAATCGGTCCAGCCATTTCAGGGGTTAGACAAACGGAACAAACAGACAGACAGACAAAAATAGTAAAAAATGTTATGTTGGTGTATGTACCGCATTTATATTCAAATGCTATGCATGTAGTAAAAAACGGTTAATTCAATATTACAAACAGACATTCCAATTTTATTTATATGTATAGATGGAAGTGAAAATGAGGAAAAAACTTTTACGTCCTTATTTAAGAACCCCGCCATTTAGTATTTCTGGAGAGAACCTGGAGACCCGACTGCGTGGGTATCTGTCACCAAACACCTTTGTTTGTGATACGTCAGTGATATTATAGTACAATAGGTATGCCATTCTGTCATTCATACAATAGGTATGCCATTCGAACGTGAAATAGTACTACATGAGAATTATAAAATTTAATTAAACACCAAGTTACTTTTTCAAACCCTCGATAAATAAATACACAATTAAATAAATAACCTTGGAAAATAAACACAGCGTCTTCTAGTCCCATGGTAAGCAGAGCTCGTGTTATGGGTACCAGACTACTGATATAAATATTTAGGTACATAATTTTTTTGTCAATACATACATAATATACATAGAAAGTACTTAGATCGATAAAAACAATCATATTCATGAATACGAATGTTTGCACTATGGTGAATACGACTTGAGTCTATGGGCGCTGCTAGAGGTTCGATTCTCGGCTCAGGCCGTCGTAATTTCTATCCTCGTTTGCATTGAACGGTGGATCTATCGTAGGGCTCAGAAATATATATAAATAGATATATATTTCTGACTGTATAAAATGCCTAACTATTGTACTAGTATTTTATACTATTCTCGTGGGGATTTTCGAAAAGGCTTTTTAGTGGAAGTCTAATGAAATAGGAAAGGGTATAAGGAATTCACTCGGGATAAATAGAAATTCAAGGTTCATTAGTAAGGTACTCATTCATTATTAGGATAATTTCTTTTCTCATTTTTTATACTAGTAATACACCCGATTTCATTCGCATGCATTGTATTTTTAAATCTGTATTGTACAAACCTCACTATAGAACATTTGAAATTAATATTAAATTAAATAACATGATAGTGATCTATTAACAAAAATTAAAACTAAATATCTTTAAACAGTAATACAATTATTAATAGCAGATGACATATTTTAAATCTTAATAAAAGCAAATGACTACTATATAATTTTTTAATTATTGGGTTTAATTTGTTTAATTCCGCTGCCATTAGTATGTGTGGGACCACAAATATTCAGTGCGGAAATTTTACCACCGCTACTGGAAGCGACATTGCGACACGTGTTTCGCCATTAAACACACCTCTAGCCTTTTTTTACTTGGAGAAATTTCCTCATAGAGACTCTTCCTAAAATTCATCATATGTATTATCTAATATATACATATAAATAAAATTGGAGTGTCTATTTGTATTATTAAAATAACCATTTTGTGTTATGTAGTAATACATGCATATGAATATAAATACGGTACATAAACCAAAATAACATTTTTTACAATTTTTGTCTGTCTGTTTTTTCCCGCTAATCTCTGAAATGGCTGGACCGATTTTGACGGGACTTTCATGGCAGGTAGCTGATGTAATAAGGAGTAACTTAGGCTACTTTTATTTTAAAAAAATAAAGTTAAATTCCACGCGGACGAAGTCGCGTGTAAACCTAGTAATTAATATTAATAGTAATAAAATAATAATACCTGGACAACTCACACAGCACAATCTAGTTCCAAGTTAACCAGAACTTGTGTTCTGAGTACTAGAAATATTTTTTTTTGTAAATACTGTACATATCTAGTATAACCCAGACCGAAACAAACACTCATACTAATGAATACATATTTTTGTGTCGTGCGAGGAAACGAACCTACGACTATTGGAAGCAAGACGGTGTGCTAAACCGTTAAACTAGCGAGGTCAATCTGTTTATAAACCTAATTATAAATATTTAATAATAATAACCCTGGACTATTCACACAGAGTCATCTAATCCCAAGCTAAGCAGAGCTTATGTTATGGGTGTTACACATAAATGCTTATATATATATTATTTGTAAATACATACATAATATAACATTGAAAATATCTAGACCAATACAAAGAACTATACTCATAGAATGAAACCCGCGACCATCGGAAGTAAGACGGTGATCTAAACTGCTAGTCTAACAAGGCTATTACTTTATATTTATTTGTGCCGTAACCAGAGGAGCTTCCTCCCGCGTACACTTAGATTATGGAATGAACTACCTGCCGAGGTTTTCTCGAGAGACTACAGCATGGGGTTTTTCAAGAAGGGTATATTAAGGTTTCTTAAGGGTCGGCAACGCGTATGTGACACCCCTGGTGTTTCAGGCGTCCACAGGCTACGGTAACCGTTTACCATCAGATGAGCCGTATGCTTGTTTGCCACCTAAGTGGTATAAAAAAAAAAACCAATATAAATAAACATACTCATGGAATCGAACCTGCGACCATCGTAAGGAAAGCTATGTGCTAACCGCTAGATCACTGAGACTATTACTTTACATTTATTTGCGCTGTTGTACACAATCTTGTAATACAATTCTGCCATTTCATATTCGTTATCAGCAAGTTTCCAAACGGATTTGATTCCAATCATGAATAAGTGGAATCAGAGGGAAAAATTTGGTGCCATTGATCGTAAAATGGCAGATCCATTTTATTCTTATTGGACGCTATATTCGTGGAGTTATATCATAAAAATATATTAACTAGCGTCAGATTTTTTGTTCACTAATAGCCCGACCCGGCTTTGTCTAGTGAACAATGTATGTGACGGAGTTCGTATAAAAATATGCATATCGTTATGTGAGATATACGAGTATATATTATTACTAACTGACCCAGCGAACGTTGATTTGACATATAAATTAAAATCGCTATTAAAAGTTAGTAGTTGGTGATAGAAGGGTGAAAATTTAGAGTATTTTTCAATATGTAATAAAAAGAATTAAGAATAGTTATATTAATTTACCATTGTGTTATAAACCTGATGCCTATATTAGAAATGGGGGTGGGCTGCAGGGATCGAACCCGCGACCATTGTAAGTAAACCATTGTGACAAACCACTAAGTCACCGGGGCCGTTAAAAATAATGCTAATATGTATTAAAATAAACAAAGAACAGTGATAACTTATCATTGCGTAATAAAATTGGTACCTATATTATAGATAGGCGTGGACTGGAGGGATCGAACCTGCGACCATTGGAAGTAAACCGGTGTGTGAAACCGTTAAACCACCGAGGCCATCAAAATAATGCAATAATCTATCTAAAACGATAAATAACAGTGATAACTTACCATTAAAAAATAAAGAACAGTGATGACTTACCATTGCGTTATAAAACTGGTTCCTATAGTATATATGGGAGTGGGCCAGAGAAATCGAACCCGCGACTATAGAAAGTAAACCGTTGTGCCAAACCACTAATTCAAGACAGTCAACAATAATGAAAATATCAATTTTTAAAAAAAAGTGAAGACCATTGCTTAAAAATGCAAATATTTATCTAAAAAGATAATGAACAGTGATAACTTACCATTGCGTTATAAAACTGGTGCCTATAGTAAAGATAGGCGTGGACCTGTTCACATCAAGACTCTGTTCCGTCGTGTTCATTATGATATTCCAAGGCTGAGTCTATTATTGTCTAAGTTCGAACACGCTATCGCAGATCTCGACGTTTCACAAGTCTTGCATCTGAAATAGAAATATTGTTCAGTTTTCTGTTTTGTTAATATTTTAAACTTGATGTTTGCCGTGATTACGCCTTATTATTATTACAAAATATAAAACAAAGTCGCTGTCGCTCTCTGTCCGTCCCTATGTATGCTTAAATCTTTCAAACTACGCAACGGATTTTGAAGCGTATTTTTTAATAGATAAAGTGATTCTAGAGGAAGGTTTACATGTACATATAATACATGTACACCCGGGCGAAGCCGGAGCGAGTAGCTAGTTCTAAAATAAAGTATGGGATGTTCACCTCATCTTATATATCATAAACGCGAAAGTGTGTGAGTATAGATGTATGGATATCAAACCATCCATCCATGCATAAATGTTTGTAGCTCTTTCTCACATAAACTACTGAACGGATTTTGTCGAAACTTTACAGTAGTATAGTTTAACCTTTAGCAACAAGTTTGACCTTTATAACGTTTTATAGGGTACTAGACAACTAATAGAAATCTTTATACATTTTTTACATAGGTAATTATTAGTAAATTACATACAAAATACATAGGAATAACCCAGAAAGATATACCTTTTACTGTTTTTTTTTGTAATTACATACAAAATATATAGGAATATCCCATACTATGTAATATTATGTTATCTGTGCCCATACCGATATATATACTCCTTTGTATATTATTATAGCCTGTGATCAAATTGAGAATATAATTATATATTAATATTATTATGTTTCTATAGTTTTACTAAATGTTAAATTAATTATGCTAGAATTTCGATCATCGGGCGTCTAGGTATGTAGATGAAAAGTCGTCGTAACATATTGTACTTTGTCACCATACAAACAGTGGTTATTTGTACTCTAGCTCATTAATCATAACTTGGAACTTGCTGCAGACATTACAAGTTCGTTAGCTAGACATTAGTAGTAACTCTACATTAACTCTCTTAAGAAAACATTTTCAACTTCAACAGAACGTATTTCATTTAACTTTTAAAACAACTAATGCACGATCGTTTAACTTTGTGCATACTATTAAATTTCATTATGTAACGGATTAAAATTACTCCGTCTGGAAAGATCGAAACTGCTCCCTCCATACAGAGAAGATATAACAGTGAGATAACATAGTATAGCGAGACTGTTCAATTATAACTTGATGATCTTAGTGGTCTAGCGGTTTAGTATACCTTAGCCTTACTTTCGATGGTCGCGGGTTCGATTCCTCGCACGGCATAATCATTTGTATTCATGAGTGTGATTGTTTGCATCGGTCTGGGTGTTTTCTGTGAATATTATGTATGTATTTACGAAAAAAAATATCTATGTATTTGTATCAGTTATCTAGTATACGTAACTCAAGCTTTAGCTAGCTTAACTTGAGTCTAGATGGCGCTGTGTTAATTGTCCTGAGCAGATAATTATTATTATCAATTTTTGTTTATCTGTTGGGAATGTATAACTGACAAGAAACTCCACTGGTAATTTATTTATAATTACTATTTTTATAATCGGTATCAATGTTTTTAAAAAATAACATAAAATATTGTATATAATTAAAAAGTTTAAAATGTGGAATATCCCTTGTCTGAACAAATAACACTATATAAGGTCTATATCTTCTTCCAAATAATTGTTTACAGAGCAATAGGCATTATTCAATAAATACCTATATTTCATAATTATTAAAATTAGAGTTTATTATGTTAATAGAAATAGAAATAGAAATAATCTTTATTCAAATAAACTCATTACAAGCACTTTTGAATAGTCATATTTTGATTCTACCACTCATTCGGAATGCAAACTCATCACAAGAAGAATGAGCAAAAAACTTGAGTGTTGCTCTTTTTAATAGATGTTTTTTTTTATATAAATAATTACAGTATAACAAGTAAGAGGCATGCGATAATCAACATAGAAGTCGCTACGCACTCATTATTAATGTAATCAGATAATATTGTCAGTGCTATAGATTTAAAGTTTTTCTATAAAAACATTTACTAATCGCACAAAAATGCATATGCCTGTTAACATTCTAATAGGGTTCACATTATATCTTATTTTACTAATATTATTTACGCAAAAGTTAGTATCGATGGATAGATGGATAAATGGACATTTGTTACTCTTTCACGCAAAATCTACTGAACGGATTTTGATGAAAGTTTTCAGTAATATAGCTTATATAGCTGACACATAGATAAAAAAAATATTCGGATAAAACCAAGAGCAACGGTAATAATTATTAAAATTGAGATTTATTACTTTAAAATTGTAGTAAGGTAAGATTATATATAAATATTTCTAAAAACATAAATTTAAGTTTATTAGAATTTCAGTAGTCAAAACAATTTTGTCTATCTGTTTACTCATGACACAATAATTACTGCAAACTACTGTCAAATTGTAAATTTAAAGTCGTTTTCAGTGTTGTATAGATATAAAACTTGTAGCAAGTAATGAAGATGATGATCATAGAGATCAATAATTAGATTAAAACAAAGTAAAAAGTTTTACAGAATATAGTTTTTGTCAACCAAGACTATATCAAGAAGAGAATATGCCTAGTTTTTGTTAAGTATTGATAAAGAGGTTAGGATCATAAGATAAATCACGTAGTATGTCTGACACTCTATCTACATCGGACTATAATGGTGCTTAGTTTAGAGATTTACTATTTTATCGGACATTGACGGCCTCGGCCAATCACTACGACTGTTTCGATACTATTGTGTACTTAATAATAATAATAATAATAATAATCATTTATTCAGCATAAAAAAGCGTACAGATAAAAAAGAAAACTTAAAAACTAATAATTCGCTATGCTGAAAAGGCTTCCACTCAGCTGGTGCCGCAGCGTATCACTACAGCGCTGATTTTCAGTGGAGCCACTTGAAAAAAAAAAAAAAAGAAATAGCATTCGTGATAAATTCAAATCAAATATCTAAAATGAAGAATCAGTTAAATGGATACTTAATATCTGACTGTTAGCGGTATGATACCTAATAGGGCCTGTATTTATAGGCAGGTGTGTTGTATATTAAACTAGTATATTCAAAGAAATAAATTGCAGACATATAAAAGATAAAATTATATAGAAGAGTATAAAATAATTAGGAATCAGTAGTACAACAGGTTATCAGGATGTCTGCAGAAGCAGCCATTTTGTAGTTAGTTTTTCCCGCGCAAACGTAATGCGCCATAGATGCACAAATGTTGCACTGTGCGTATATGCAGTAGGAAGACGAGCGTATCATGGCAGTATGCGCGATTAATACAATGAGTTTTAACACTGACCCTAATAAATTAGTACTAGTTTTAAAAGAGCAACACGCAGGATCCTTGCTCGTTCTTCTTGTGATGAAACAGCTTTCCTGAAGAACGATAGATTAAATGAATGATAACTATGATTATTCAAAAGTGCTTAAATTAGGTTTCTTTGAATATTTTTTTTAAGGTTTTCTATTCTATTCTGTTCTGTTCTGTTCTGTTCTGTTCTGTTCTATTCTATCCTATCCTATCCTATCCTATCCTATCCTATTCTATTCTATTTTTATTCGATGGTCTAACGGTGCACACGCAAAAGCCTATACCGGCGGTCCTACATTCTATCTAAATTAATTTAAAAATGTGCAGATGAAAATTTTTTTTATTCATTTTAATATGTTGGTGTAGCCGTGTGTATGTATATTACATACATATATACATGTTGCCAATATAATATAATGTATGCTATTTGTAATGTATGTTACTATCAATAATATTTGCTGAATAAATGTTATGTCCATTATTATTATTAAATTCCACGTAAAATCACGAGTAATAGTAATATTTAAAATAATAAAAAATATACAGTATATACTATTTACATCAGTATTATAAATGCTAAAGCGCGCTCTTATACCTTTTACCGACAAAATAACATATCTTTTAAAATAAAAAAAAGAAAAAGACGAAACCTCAGATATCATTATACCTTTTATCTTAAAAATAGGAGAAGTCACAGGTATGAGGTAGTATATTAATAAATACAACTCGTATAAATAATTAAAATATTATGGCAGTAAGTTTGCGACTCACGTAGTGCTCTCGAGGTGAGTCTTGCATTAAATGTAATTAGTCGGGCAAATTACAGGTAAGCCTTCCACACATACCCCGCCGCAGAGGTATGCGAGTTTGTGACGAGCGGTATTAACATGCAAGTGCATTTTATGACATTTTTAAGCGAAATTACACTACACTAGTAGTGAGTTCATATATTAAAACATTATAATATAACAGTTTATTTATTTCGCCACACGAACATTATGTATTTTATATTGATTTAATAATACCCCTGGATAATTCACACAACGTTATTTAGTCCCAATGTAAGCAGAGTTTGTGTTACGTATATATAATTTATCTGTATTTATATATTAATATCTATTGTTAAATTGCAGTGCCTTATAATCGCTGATCAACGCGATGGTTGACTGATAGCCATCTCTCATTATATCTGCCAGGTATATAAGTTTGTATGCAAAAAAATAAACATTCATAATACAACTTTCCAATTTAAATTTTTGTTACGTACATTGTATACAATTATGTTGACGGGATATTTACCATGACAATCTTTACATAGTATAAAACAAACTGGCCGCTGCTGTCTGTTCATTTATATCTTTTAAATTACGCAACGGATTTTGATGCTGTTATGTATTTTTAAAGCTACATCATAAAAAAAAATAAAAATTGTGCCCAAAAGTAAAATTTGCGGTTGGCCACCTTTATATCTTGGGTGTATAAAAATAAATTACCAACATCTTATTCTCAAACCTTCAGTAGGTTTGAGTATAAGTTGTTGTTGATAATTTTTTTTAACACATTCAGTTTACACATGGTTTTTTATAAAACTCGGTTAAGCCATTTC